CTATCAGCCGATCACGACTTAACTGGCAAAGTGTGGCAGTGATTTTATCTCGAAGAGCTTCAAATTCCATTTTTTTTTTTTTACTCACAAAATCGTCCCTTTTCTCTTAATCTCAGGTCCGGTGATAGGAAAAAAAAGTTTTCTTCTTCAGCAGCTCTAATGTCGCTAACGTTAGCTGCTAACGTCTCCAACCGTCACAGTCACTCACGATCTGGAGATCCTTAAAAAAACTTTCTCCTGGCTGGCTCGCCATTTTATGTTGCAGCTTGAAGACATCAGTCGACGAATGGAGTAGTTTTTATCCAAACATTTATTTTCTTTTAACTCCACACAGAATATAAACTGGCTCCACACACTCACGGTGCTTCTGCTGCGGTCAGTGTCCCAAAATAAAGTGTGGGGTGTCTTTGTACAGTCAAATACACAAAAACAGTAACACAACTAATAATCTCATTTGAACAATGTCTGTATTTCTCACAATTAGCTTCCATTAGTTTTTCTATGGTAGAAGTGCTTTTGAGGTTGTGGATCTAAATATTTACATAAGCTCTTTAGAAATTGTGGAGCTAATTTTTGGATTAGTGCTGCTCACCACTGCTGAAAAGCTTTTGCTGTGTTCATACACTTTGGTGTGTGTCAAGAACAAGGAACAAATACAGAATTAAGACTTGAATGTTATGCGTAACCAAGAAACACATACAAGCCAACCGTCTGAGCCACTAACAGACTTTATTCTGCAAAATGGCCCGGCTCAAAGAAGGGAGGTCACAAATATTCACTTTCTTCCGGTTCTGGCCACTCCTTATGGGCAAGCTATCACATCGATTGGGTGCTCTCCCTACCTACCATGTGACCAGAAACCCTTCAACAACGTTGAACTTTGTTCAATGTTCAAAAATGTACGTGTTGTAAATGCTTCAAGCGTGGATTAAAGGGGCAATATCATGTAAAATCAACTTTTTTGAGTTTTATATCATGTTATAATGTTATACTCTCACAAAAAGCATGCCCAAAGCCTTGCTCTGACTCATTCATGCATGTTTGAGAAATTCTGCAGTGTTTTTAGGAAGCCATGCTGAGGAGCAAAACGACAGGTGGGGACCAGAAACACCTTTTGGTACCAGAAACGTCCCTGGGATGTGTCTTTAAGCCGAACTTCCTCATGGCAGAGCGCACCCCCCCTCCTCCCCGCCCATGACTCCTGCAAGCTCTCGGCAGTAACAAAGCAAACTGAAAGTGAAACTTAAGCTGACTGCTGAGCTCCACTACTTCTTACCCACAATTTACATTACATGCGTCTCTGCTCCGCTGCGCAGGTCGCAGCTGTGCGTTTCAAGTTCAGTTTACACCATTTTCGCTCCGCTCCGGTCCGACAAACGTGCAGCAAGGAGATTGCGCGATAAATTCAGTGATAAGTGTGGAAGTCACAGCAAAAAATAATTAATTCTGTGAAAGACGAACTCCAAACACAACTGAAAATAACGATATAAAGGCTTTTGATATCTATGTTGAAACTGTCTCGCTGTCGTCTTTCTGAAACTTTTAATTTCAAAATAAAATCCATGTGTATCGTGTGTGTACACATATGCCTCATGCTACATGTCTCCATCTGCTTCCCAAACAGAACGATACAGTCTGACAGCATTTGTGTAGAAATATATCCTTATATTTATTAATATAGCTGCAATTTCGACATTATTCCGAGAAATTATTCTGCCTAATAATGTCTTATTTTGAAAATACGGATGTTGTGCTCGTTTCTTTTCCTGTTGGTGCAATGTAATCTTTAAAAATTGACTCCGGCGTCCATCAAAAATAGGATCTGTTCTAATTTTGACGGATTGCCGTCCGCTCACCGCTGCCCTGCTCCGCCGTGTGCAGCCAGTGTAAACACTCTCATTGATTGTAATGGGTGTGTGTTTGCTGCGGAGGTCGGACCGGAGCGGAGTAGCATGTAGTGTAAATTGGGGGTCACTCAGTGAAGCTCTTTTCAGATTCAAAATACCTTTGAGGAAATGTATTTTCAGATGCCAAGTAAACTGCATCATAGCCCACGCACGACC